GGATCCGGCAGGGTGCAAAGGGAGCCGAGCCGGATTTGGGAGGGAAGGATGGGGGTGGGGGTTGGGGCTGAAAACGGAGCTTGTAGTGGGAGGGGTCTGGGGCGGCCGGAGAGCTGCGCCGAGCCGGTGTTGGGGTCTTAGACTGGTGGAGGCAAATGCAAGAAGCTCCTCCCGAGTCTCGGCCATTTCGGATCCTCTCAGGGGCCTCTATCCACGTCGACTCGGTGCAAGAAGCTTGTCTGAGATCGTTCCTCTTCCCCTCTGCTCCCTCCCGCTCCCAGCCCAGCCGAACCGCATTCCCAGGCAGATCCCCCTGGCTCGCCATCTGTAGACTTCGCCCCAGCTCCCTGCGGTCGCGTTACTGATATGTTTATTTAACTGGGTCTCGTTTTAACGCTTTTTTTGGGGAGGGAGGGGGGAGATCTAACATGAAATTCTTCTGTGGCTCGGCGAGGAGCGGTGCAAAGTTTTGTAAAGGTGAAAAGAGATTTGCAATAAAGGGGTGAGGTATCCGTTTGGGAGGAAATCTGTGTGCAAGTCTCCGACTGTTTGAATAAATCACCTTTCGAGCAATAAAAGCTACTTTAAACAGTGCGGGAGTGGCAACATGCACAGGACCATGTGACCAGACCATTCCTAATGCTAAATCAACACCTTGTCAACGCTATGCAGCGACATGAGTGAAAAACAAATGTCATTTTCACAGCCCGCAGCCTACAAATCCCCATCGGATGCAAAGGCACTCACCAAAAGCATAAACAGCAAAGAGGAGGAAAAAGAGGCAACTCCAAGGAGAAAAACAACAACAACCGCCAGCTGCGCCAGTCGTACAGTACATTTTTCTGTCAACTAGAACCTGAACAGTGTGACATATAGTGCTGCTCAAATGCATGCCATTCCCGTCCCAGTCCATAATCTCATCCTTCTTGGGACACAGTTTAGCAGCTGCCCTCGACTGACGTGTCTGAGTTTAGGGAACTCCCTCTTTGATAGTGCTTTAGACTCTCTACAGATCCTTGCAAGCTTCGATACAAAACAGGGAAACAACAATCCCAACAAGAATCCCAACAGCTGCGAATGTGAGCCAAGCTGGCCAGGTGAGGGGGACAATAATCCCGAGAAAGTGTGGACAGCGCCCACGAGCGACCTGAGCAATCAAACTTCACTTGCTGCTGTATGACAGAATGAGCTCTGAGCCGCAGACAAACTCTCCAATATGAAATGATTGCAAGCACCCTGGAAAGGGCTATGGTGAGGTGAGATCACCAAGGCAGGTTGTGACATTGCGCAGGGAGTCAGGACACAATGTCACTGTATTCTGATTTCAAAGATCGTGCCTACAGCCTCCAATCTTCCACTCTTTTTCTCTCCTTTCCCCCCTCTCCCCCCCTATATCGCCAGCATCTTTTGGTACGAGAGGATAAATGCAAATCTGCTTTACCTCAGTCTCTGAGGCATGTATGTTACTGCAATGACACCGACCTGGAATTTCTTAGATTACTCAGCTATGAATACGCTGCTATCACTGATCTAGTGTTTTATTTGTTAAAATCAACACAATCATACAGGTCCATATTGCAAAATAAAGCTTGGCAGAGGTCACATACAATGGCTGGTTTAGAATTCTTCCCAAACCCTGACACACTAGGGCAATCCTTCCAAAGGTATGAACATGTTTTATTTCATGCAAGCCTCCTAAATGAAGGCGAATTCAACCGTGAACCTTGTTTAGTCGCAGCTTCCACTATTGCACATTATTTATTGCCTAAAGTTAGCTCTCTTTCTGCTAATCGCACACTGTGAACTGCCTTTGAAATATGTAATCTCATGCAGCAAACTGAATCATACACCCAAAATAATCACTAGGACCACCTGGTGCACATACACACACTCCTGGAGATGTGTGAGTCCATTATACCTCCCCCTCCATATATTTGACTACAGCAAAACCTCACCATCCTATCTTGGCTAGAAGGAAATTCTTTCAGATTTTTCTACTGGTGTTAAAGTTAAGAATCCAGAGACTAACCACAACACAAACTGTCTCTTACCATGAATATATATAGTTACACATGAAAGACCCAACTAAATGTAACAATACATGATAGTAAAACTTACTAGCGATAAACAGTGACAGCCAACTGACTGTTTAGAGGCCTTACATGGGTTATGTCAAAATGAAGAGAAACAGAAGCAGGTCTTGTGGTTATAATCAGCTACACTATGAAAAAAACCCGGAGTGCAATAAACTATCTAATTCGGTTTTCCAGGTGTGTAAAAGAATACCTAAATATAGGTAACTTCATTCAGATGGGTTTGTGTACTTTGTACCTACATCCACTCGAAGAACTGGCTGTTCAGTAACAACGAACTTGTCATCTAACGCCTTATTATCTTTCGGAACAAGAGCCACTTTTACTATGAATACTATTATTGTCCCTTCACTAAAGAAC